GGCGGCCTTTCCGGAGATTGCCGAGGGGCTCCGGCCCCTCCCCAGCCGCCGCCGAGCCCGTGACCGAGGCGCTCCGGTGGGTCGGAGCCCGGCGCTCCCGCTGCTGCTCCGGTCGCGGCGCGGGGCTCGCCGCCCTCCCCCTCCTCCTTGTGCCGCTCCTGCTCCTCCGGCAGCGCCGGGCGCCGCGGTGACAGAGCGGGGCGATCGCGGCGGGGGGCGGCCGGGGCTCCGGCGGCGCGGATGGCGGAGGGCGGCCAGCCCCCGCAGCAGCAGCAGCAGCCACAGCCGCAGCTCCTGGCCGGCGGCGGCGCGGGGTCCGCCCGCGGCGTGAAGCGAGAGCCGGAGCTGGAGCAGCCCATGCCCGGCGGGGACGGCGCCGAGGGCGGCCACAGCAAGCGGCTGCGGACGGAGGCGGAGGCCGACGGCGGCGGCATGCAGGTAGCGGGCAGGGCCGGGCCGTCCCCGGCTCTCCCTTCCCGGGGGCTCGGCCGGGCCGGGCCGCGTTTAATTTCGGTTTGCGGGATTCGGCGCGTTGCGCTCGGGCGTGCGGCCCTTTCCCGTCGGCAGCGGGGCGAGCGGGGCTCCCCCGGGCTCCCCCCGCGTTTCCCGGGCCGAGCCGGGCGGCTCCGGGGGCACAGCCCGGCACGTGGGGCGGCGGCGCGGGGCCCGCGGGAGCCGCCGCCGGGTCCGGCGCTCCGGGCACCGCGGTGCAGCCCGGGGAGGCCGCGGTGCGGGGCCGGGCGCGGGGCACCGGCGGCGCTCCGGGGCCAGCGGGGTTCACCCGCGCCGCCCTGGGGCTCGCGCGGCACCAGGAGCAATCCCAGGTACTGCCTGGGAAGGGGGAGAAGAGGAGTAGTGGGGCGTCTTCCAGCTTGGTTCGGGATCTCACGTTCCTGTTTGTCTTCTGCCAGCGCGGTTTGATCGGCCCCAAAACATCGCTCGTTCCAGGTGCATTGGCTTTTGTGTTTGTGGGATGATGCTGGCAAGGTATTTCTGCCTCCCTTTGTCTGGGTGTTGTGGAGGGTTGTTTTATTATGGCAGTTGCACTGGCCTTTTCTGCTTCTGTCTCTCGTGACGAGTATATGAGAGCTCTTTGTAAGTGGAGTGATTTATTCATCTCAACTTGTTTCTCCTCTCACCTTTTCTTGGGCTGGTAAGCGCTGCTGGTAGTTTCCAAGGGGAGCATCCTGTTCTCCACTGTGCTTCTCATCAAGATACCGAATGCTGGCCAATACTCTTCCCTTTTTGCTTCACAGGCTGCCCGCAGTTTTCATGCTCAAGATTTATTTATTTTTTAAACGGCTTGCAGCAGGGGAGTTTTGTTTGTGGTTCTATCTGATGTTCAGCCTTTCACGGTGGTCTCTGCACACCACAACATCGTGTTTTTCCCAGTGTGGTGGTGCGGCCTGAATGTGTGCTAGAGCTTCGCACCCAAGTGCTGCCGCTTGTGCTCCCCAAGGGCTGGCAAAAATCGTGCTGCACTCTTTTATCCCTTGGAGTAGTGTGTTCTCCCACACGTAGGTGTCAAGTATGACTCAGACAATGTGTACAGTTGCAAGGAGAAAGATGCTCAGCCTCGAAGGAGTTGAGTCTAACTAGGAGTTATGAATGAGTGCGCAAACACGGTGACATGAAATTCTTCCAGCTTTACAGAGTTGAACTGAGACAGAAGTCCTGTGTAACCACAGGAGATGCACCAGTTTACCTGCAGTTAGTGGTTAAACTGGTTGGTGTTCATGTAAACTAGTGGTAAATCAACTGAAAATTGCCTGGGAAGGGACTTGGACTGGTTTAGCAAAAGTCTGAATTTTTTTTTTTAATTGCAAATGAGTACAATTTCTGTACAGATAAAAGACTCCCCTTTATGTTTACATGGAAGAGTGTTTTGTTGTCTATCCAATGAACAGTGCAAGTTAGTAAGGTTGCAGCATTCAGCCACGAGGCTACGACAGTGCGTGTGTGCAGCAGTGTGTAATGCTGGTGTTAATGATACTAGGGATTAATTGTGGAATTAATTAGTGGAAAGTTGGGGTTTATTTCTGTATCAAATGGTGACAAACAGTGGAGAAATTAGGTGATGGGCTATTAGTAGGGTCTGATTTTTAATTATGTCTATAGTCAGTATAACTGTTCTTCAGATTAGGACACCCATATTGTACTTATTTGGCATTTATAGCATAATTTTAATATTTCCATATGTATATACATGGAAAAGATTTTTCAATCTTTTCAATATAAAATACAAAAATGAACATATATATATATGTGTGTGTGTGTGTGCACAAATACATACTGTTATTTGGAACTAGATGATCTTTAAGGTCCTTTTCAACCCAAACCATTCTATGTCCAGAAGTTTGTCTTGACTTTTTTTACTGTTAAAGCGTGTGGCTTATATATTTGGAGAATCTTTTCATGTTTGTAAGCAAGAAGTACCAAATTTGAAGCTAAACTTACAAATAGTATCAGAGGTAGGAAAAAAGTGTTCTCCAATGTTTGGGAAATTCAGTGTCTTTTAACCTAGAAGTCAAAACACAAGATTGCCTTTTACAAGGATTTTGGTTCAGATAGTGTCTTCTTTTGGAGTATCTTATTTTAGAATAACGGGTTCTTTTTAGTAAATCCTCTATGTTTAGCTGTATGTAATGCTTACAAGAGGAATAAAGAGCCTATTCTTTGATTTTTCTTTCTCCCCCCCATATGTACTAGAGGCTTTCTGGAAGCTGGAAATAACACCAGCAACTGTCGTACCTTGTTTTTCCTGGAGATCCTGTCAATTTTCTACTTCCTGTTCCAAGAGCCACAGGCTGTTGCTGTGTAAACTTGGTGACCTCAGGTCTCTGGGCTGATAGCAGGGAATCATGGAGTGCTGTGCCTACCACCATTTCTTCTTTGCATGACCTGTACCTACCAATGGTTCAGGATATGAACACGGCTTGTAATGCTGAAATAAATCATTTAGCTGTAGAAATTACTAATGTAACTCTAAAACTCATAGCTTTTTTTGGGTCCTATTAATATGAAGTATCAAAACTAGCCTACAGGAAGATAAGATAGTAGCTAGTTATTAAGACCTTGGGGGAAAGGGTGTCTAAAAGCTTAAAACAGCCCTTATATTTACTGGGCTTCTTGTTTTCTGCTGTCTCAGGCCAGCATGCTCAGACAGCTTATGCAGTTAGGGTTTCATTATCTAATCCATCTTTGATCAGGCCGGATAAATGGTGTTTGGCCAGTGCTGATCTTGTTAGGAGGGTGGTGTAAAGCTGCTTGAGTTGGGATTGGGACAAATCGGATCATGGCTGCTATCTGCTTCTGGGACATATTTCAGTTAATCATGGCGTGGGAGGAAAAGGTCCATCAGAAATTGCTGGTTTTTAGCTCCCTCTGTTTCATAAGTGGCAAAAATCAAACGCCGCCAGCCAGGAATGTCTCCCGGAAGTATTTGGATAGGTTTGTAAGCTTTGGAAGTGAAGTGCCCCAAAGGTGCTGCTGCTTTTTAACTGTATAAATACTAGCTAGTGACTAGTTTGTGCTCTTTGCTGGCTTGGATGGTTGGGTCATTTGGATCAGCTTGCTGATCTGAGTAAAAATAATGCCTAACAGAGGAAAGGAAAAAAAAAAGTTATATACTGCACTGAAATGCAGTTGTTGATGCAGCTGTATTTGCTGCTTGTTAAAAGAGACTGACTGCTCCACAGATGGAAGAGAAAGTACCCTTGCAATAATCTCTCTCCTCCTCTGTTCCTCGCACGATGAAAGATGAGAAATGTTGTGGCTAGCTAGAAAGTGTCCCTTTCTCTTTAGAGCTGCAGTCAAGGGTCCTGTTTTTCTATTCCAGGGTGCTGTTTTTGTATTCTTCTTCTAAGTGCTAGAGGTGTATCAGACATCTTACACTGCTGAAGAAAGTTACTAAAATATCTTCCCCTTACTTTGCTTGGTTGAATGAGTTAATCAACTCCTCCTTCAGTGCCCAAGCTGAATTTTGATTTAACTTTTTTATGGGGTCTAGACTGGTTAGTTTATACCTGGGGGTAATATATGGGTGGAATTATATGCAAGGTGTGAACAGAACTGGTCCTTGTTCCTCTTTCATGAATGACTTTTGTGCTCAGCATCCCTGAGTATTTGGGAGAGTTACTGTTCTGCAGCCATGAGCATGGCCAACTGCTCGGGGCAGACAGTGCAGCTGTGGTCTGTGCCTCACCCAGGCCACGTAAACCTTTAGTGGCAGCGATGAGTGGAGACTTTGTGTTGTCATTCAGCCATGTCTGCATAGGGTTCATAAAGATGACTGGTGGTGTTGAGATCAGTCCCCTGTGACTAAATAATGATGTAATAGACGATAAGTCTTTCCTCCGCAAGAAAGTCCACGGTATCTCCTCCTGCTGTGAGCCAGAAGATGGTCTGTAAAACCCTCTACCAGCCCAGCTCATTCCACCATAATGACTGGAAACCTTGAACTGCAGTATGCCACAGAAAGGGGGGAGCAGGAACATGGCTTGTGCTTCATGACAGCCACCAGTGTCCTCATTCAAATTGTGGCCTGTTTGTGGTGCTCCAGAGGACAGCAAGAAATCAGTCTGCTGATAATTTCCTAAGACAGGTTTGAGTTCATAAGTAAGAGGGCTGATTGGGATTGTAATCAAGAAGGGGCCAGTGTATAAGAGCTTTTCTGCTGTGAGGGATCCTATGGAAGTCTGTATTTTTAAATCCTACAGAAGAGAACATCTAGTTCCAGTAAATGGTGGAAAAGCTGTGTAATCAGGTTAGCTTTTTCCTCCCTCTTATTATTCATGGCATGGCTGTCTTTGTAAAGAGATGCAGAGCAATGCAGGGGATACAAGATACTACCGAAAAGAAAGGAAGTTCCAACCTTTAGAAGCTGACCCCTGCCTTGGATCCAGGATGAGGTTTCCTAGGATGCTTTCCACAGACTATTGCTGATGTGTTGAGACATAATGAATCACCTCTAAGTGTGTTGTTGTTTCTC